GCCAAGTGCCCGCTGGCTTTCCACAGCAAGCAGGATGATGCTGGTGCGTTAAGGTAACCTGTTACTAATGGCACATTATGCTGTCTGAAATACTTGGGTGCAAACTCATCCTTGGGCCTCAGTGCTTGAAGCCAGATTGTAATTAGTCACAGGATGTTACTCCGTCAGTATGCTCTTGCATACTCTTTTTATAATAAAAGGGGAGCGCCTGTATCAGATCTGGACTCAGCTCTGCACAGATACCCAAGGATCCCTTTGGGGTGGCAATGTAAAGCCATGCTGGGCTTTCCACCCATCCTGCCACAGGATTCGTTGTGACCAACATCACAAGCTAACAAAATCTTTACAGGTGACAGAAACGGATTGGGGAGGTGCTGTGCATTAGCAACAAACGGGAATAATCCTGAACTGGATGTCTATGGACTTATACCCCCGAACCGCCACGTTCAATAAGACTCCCTTTATAAACTGGCTTTTAACCTCTACTTCACCTATTTTGGCTTTGCAAAGCAGTTCAGTAGGGTCCCTAAGAATAAGAAGTGAATGAAAAAGCAAGTGGGGGACAGACATTCAGGCATGAAAGTAGAAGAGCTGTTAGCATATCTAGATTTTGGGGGACCTCAATGAGTTTTTAGTCCATCAAAGTTGATTTCCTGCACCCTGAAATTTAACGGATTAGTCTCCAATCACATTTTTCCTCCTGGGCGCTTGGAAGTTTAATTCTATTTCTGTTGTGGGCCCAGGAAGATGTAATCTTTTAAAAGAGAGATGCTTTCAACTTCAAGGGACGTTGTATATAGATTTTTATCTCTACAGTTGTATTTTAAAAAGCCTTCACAGATGACTCAAAGTCTGATGTATTTATCACAGTCTGTGTTTTGCTTATCACCATCTGTGCTGCTATGTGCCCTTTACACTACGGGGACAGTGAAATTAGATGGGTTAGGCTCACATATTTTATATTATTTATATTGTGATAGCAGCTAACAGACCCGGTCATGGGCCGGGACCCCACTGTGTTAGGACCTGTATAAACACAGAACAAAGGAATGATCCCTGCCTCAAAGAGCTTACAATTTAATTAGTGCCTGGCTTTTCTGTCCCTGCTTATGCTAAGTTCTGCCTGATTCTGATCATCCCTGTTAAGTAGCACCTTGCTCCAGGAGTAGTTCTGTTGAAGTGAATGGAACTCTTTGTGGGCTGAAGTGCTGCTACCGGTGAGCAGTGGTATCAGAACCAGGCTCTCAATGCAATCTAATAACCAGGGAAAGTTGTTTGCCAAAGGACAGCAAATTAGGACCAGCCAGGCAGTTTCACTTCATGGTCCTCTATTGCTCTGCTGTTTGCTCATGACGCTACAGGGAGAATGCTCATAGCCAAGGAAGCATTCAATGGCTTTTTAAGCAATGACACTTCTCTTCTCATTACATCTTTCAAAACCTTTTTTTGGAGCGTGTAAAACATAAACATTTGGCACCTAAATCCCCAAGCTGCAGACCTCCTTTCAGACAAGCGAGTGTTTGAAGTGTCTCTGTACCTCCCCGCCATCTAGTACACACAACTCAGTCTGTTCCTGCGTTCCCTAGCCATGCCTGCTGTTGGTGCCATGGGCAGGAGATATGCACCTGAGTGACAACTTCAGAATGTCAAAGCAAAAATGCTTCCAAGTTTGGTGCAAAGATGAGGCTCCCATTCTCAACTGGGGATGTTAAAAAAAAATTATTTTTGTAAACATGTAACTGTTGAATTTTTCAGTGATTACATGTTTACATGCAGGGGGGCAGGCGGGAGCCGATGCTCGTGGGGAGTCAGCTTTTAAGCAGGCTCCCCCCAAGCCCTGGCTTCCGGCTCTCTCCCCTCCACTTTGCTACTTCTGATACAGAGGCAACAGGGATGGGGGGGGGTGTAACCATGAGGATTAACCAATGAGCTCAGGCTTATTGGTTAACTGGCTTCCGGCCCTCTCCCCTCCACTTTGCTGCTTCTGATACAGCGGCAATGGGGGTGCGTGTAACCATGAGGATTAACCAATGAGCTCAGGCTTATTGGTTAATCATGTAAACAGGTACACGCTAACATCCATATTTTCAACCTGAATCCTTCTCATGCCATCAGATTTCACTCAGGGCATAGACATGAAGTTTTGTATTCAGAGTTATTACTGCCTATTTTAATGATCTGTTGCAACAGCGATTAAAAAAAAACAGTTGTCTCTATTTAAGAGCCTTCCTGGGGCCAAATTCTCCACTGCAGTAAAATCCTAGCAATGGGACTCTGCTAAAGTGCCGCAGCTCATGACCCGGCCTATTCTTCCAGCCAGATTTCCAGTGGTCAGAAGCAATTGCAGTCCAATATGCTGCAATGGCATAAAGAGGTCTTTGTCCCCAAAGGCCCTATGTATAACTTTATCATTTGGCCGGGTGGGAGCAACCCTCTAAGGAAATGGGACCGAGACGCCAATAGAACTTTTAATCATGTTTCCATAATATACAAAAGCGGTTAAATAATAAGGAAATATACCTATCTCATAGGACTGGAAGGGACCTTGGAAGGTCATTGACTCCAGTCTCCTGCCTTCACAGGAGGACCAAGTACAATCCCTGATAGATTTGCCTCAGATCCCTAAATGGTACCCTCAAAGATTAAATTCACAATCCTGGGTTTAGCAGGTCAATGCTCAAACCACTAAGTTATCCCTCCCCGGAGCAACGCACCATTTTGCAGGCAAACACATGCAAAAGACTTGTTTACCCCCAAATCTGCATAGTTTACTGAATTACAGTTCATTGTTCCACTGTATCTGTAGTGAGCTTAATTATAGCTGCTCTGATACAGAACTGAGCTCTTACACAGGACTTTTTGTCTGTAGCTATCATAGCCTTTTAGAAAGGAAGGGCAGCATCCTTCTCCTCAATTTACAGACGGGAAAACTGAGGCACAAACAACGTGCGCCACAGGCTCTCTGTGTGTCAGTGACAGAGCTGGTATAGAACCCAAATGCCCTGTTAAGCTTTTAACTGCCTATCCACCTCTATTTATGCACAGTGGATTTTTGTGTGTTTTCCTTCACACCTGATCATCTAGGCTAAGAATATCAACTGAGCCTATGGGAGTAAGGCACCCCATTTTTTCAGCTCCTTTGAAACCCCCCAGCCCTAATTTTTGGTTGCTGAGCCTTGCATAGCTGAACCCCACTTTAAAGAGCAGACAGGGAGCCCAACCTCCCAGGGCTCAGGCCTCCTGTACATGCTTTAGAATCAGCAAAATCTTACCCCCTTCCCCGTCAAACCACACTCTCTCAGTATTTGGCTGTCGCCAACGTATTGGCAAGTGGGCACTTTCTGTTTGAGCAATGAGCTTAGAGAGGAAATGGAGACAGAAGGCAGGAACTGTTGCCTGGGGCATTGGACCTCTCTGGCACTTGTTTGCTTCATGCCTGACGTGTCAAACTCATGTCATAGGCTGCGCACGTACTAGATATAACCTTGCTCTCTCTGGCTGTGTCTACACAATGTGGAAGATTGACACCGCCACGGTTGAGCTTCCAGAGTTCCATTTAGTGGGTCTAGTGAAGACCCGCTAATTCGAACTGAGAGGGGGCCCCTGTCGGTAGTGGCACTCCTGCTCCTCATGAGGCTGAGGGAAGCCAATGGGCGTGTTTGCTCCCATTGACCTCCCGCTGTGTGGAAGGCGGAAAAACGCAATTTGAGATATGTCCGCTCCAACTATGTAATCAGCTGGCCTCTGGGTTCTGCAGTGCTCCTGGAGGGGGAGAGAAACAGGAAGGCGAGGGACAGTAGAGAGGCAATTTAGGACAGGCAGTGTGTTGGGTTCAGCTGGTCTCTGGGTCTAGCCTCTGTCCCCCTTCTTTTTCCTCCTCCCCATCTTTCATTTTGTAGTTGGCCTGTCCTTCCCGCCCCCCGCGAGGCAAATCTCTCCCTCACACGGTGCTCCTTGAATTAGCAAGCAGGAAGGTTGCTTAAGCCTGACCTTTTCCTCCCATCTTCCCCTGCAGACTGGGCAGCATCAGCATATCCCGTCACCAAGCCATCTGCCTCTCCTAGCCTACGCTCCACTCCAAAGTTAGGCTCTTGTACTGCTGGCTGGGCACACCACTTCCGCTGCATCATGAGTCTTCTACTAGTTTTACCCACATGCTATTTTGTGGAGGTGTGTGTGTGTGTGTGTGTGTGTGTAATAGTTTATATATATATATAATGATGCATTTCCACTTGCATCACAGTTTGGAGATAGAGGTGTGTGTGGTGTTTTTCCCCTGCTCTTTTAACTTCCTGTTGTTACATGGTATGGATGGGGATGTGCACTTTTAACCACAATTGGAGGGTGATGCAAAGGGTTAACCCCCTCATTCTTGCAGCCAAACCCTGCTTGTCTTACCCATGCAGGCAGCCTGTTGCAATGAGCAAGACAAACAGGATTCAGCTCCCCCCCATGCTGTCTTACATTCACAGCTGGTGTAATGTTAAGCACTCAGCCCTGCTGATAGCACATTGCAGGAATAGCAACCAACTTGTTTACAGCACCACAACGCTGCAAGTGTCAACAATTGTTCGCATTGTGAGCACCCTTTCCTTTTTTTTTTAAGGGGTGTGCATCAAGGAAAAGCTGGCATGGAGGGAAAAGCAACACCCTTGTGTTCTGCCATGTCTGCAATCTTGTGGCAAGGGTGACTTCTGCTTTCAGAATTTACAGTGTTGCAGAAGCCTTGGTCTGCCCCCTGTCTAACGTGGTATTGCATCGGATGGCTACCCAACCAAGTGTTTCTGTTTGAGAGACCAATTTTCTTCCCTTTGGAGTCAATGGAAAAACACCCATAGGCCATCAGGGGGCAAGATAAAGCCCTTATCTCCTTTTGTAAAGTATCCAGTTTTAATATTAGAGGAGCCAGGTTCTTTAAAGTAAAATCAAATAACTAAATGGTTTAAAGCTTCCTCTGCTGCCTCTCCTTACACACATGCACACACACTGGAAATACTTACATTCCCTGTTCCCCATAGTGGTTGTAAAACTCCATATGGCTACATGCCTGAATCCAGCCCACGATCCAGGTCTCCTTCTTGGCGATAGGGGGTACCAAGACCTGGGCAGAGGCTCGAAAGTGAGGAGTCCGGTATCGCAGAACCACGCTGGACGACTCGTCAATGTTGGTGGGAACGGGATCGATAGAGGCTTTCACTTCAATCACAGAAATACTTTCCCGGAAAACTTTGGATTTGCAGCTAATACTCTGAATACAGCCCATGGCATACAACACCAGTGCAATTCCTAGGCCACACCAGCAATCCTGGAGAAGATTAGGCATTGAAATGATATGGTGCTAGATCAAATACAGATCTCCCTGGTTTGTACTCTCAAAATTGATATCCATAGGATAGAACATTCGACATGGAAAGTCTTTATTTCAATTTCAGTATTTACCGCTGCTGCGCTTGTGGATTTAGCTGCAATTCAAAAGCAAAGGGGCCTTTTCTTATTTCCCCAGTTAATGATAGATGAAATCACTTGTTCATATATTCTTTGGATTAAAAAGAGAGTCTTGAGTTCAATAAATAATCATCTCCCTTTTTTAAAGATATTAGTCCATCCTTTTCGTGAGTGCCATCTGTTGTTCACCATGAAACAGCGGAGAAGCTGGTATTTCCCTTTATTCTTTGGATGAAAAAGCAGCGCTCTGATAGACACATCTATAGAAATAATAAAATACTTCTTGTCTCAGCCCTTGCAGATTTTCACTTCCGGACTTGCAGTTGTTCAGAACTTCCCTTTGCAAAGAAAAAACAGTAAATTAAAAAAAAAAATTCAAGGTGGGGGAACGTTACATCGGCCCCATCTGTGACTTGGAGGCTGCTGTAGGATGCCAGAGAGATGGGTCCTGCTGATTTCTGTAAGTAATAAATAGCTTAAATACTAAATCACAGGTCTTTGTCACGCCTCAAGTCCCCCCCTCTTAGCGTTTAACCATAAAACCGGAGGGAAAAGGAATACGAGGAGATCTCTTCGCTCCTCCTAGTGCACCACTTCGCTGCTTTTTGTTTCCACTTCGCTCTCCCTTCCTTCGACCCTGGCGGAGCCCCGCTGCAAAGCCATGACTCGGGGAAGCTCCGCAGACGGCCGGTCTCCTCTGCCCCCCGGGCTCTTCGCGGTCTGTGGGGCGGCGGTACCCCGCCCGGGTTCAGCCCTTCCACCGCCCCTCTCGGGACCCGGCTGCGGGGCGGGCTCTGAGCGCGCCAGAAGTTTGGTCAAAGTTTCTCTGCAGTGTCGGGTGGCTGCGGCTTTGGGTCCCGAGGCTGCCCCGCGGTCTCCCCCCCTCCCCTCCGAGGTCACGATCCGCCCCGCTGACCCAGGCTGCAGCAAACAATCGCCTCCCGTGACATGTCCGCTCGCCCCCACCTGGGCTGGGGAAGGATGCGAGACAAGCGAGGTGGCTCCGCCGCCTGCCCCCCGCCTCCCTCCCAGCGCCGGGCTGCTAGCTGGATGGTGCGGTGGATCGCATGTCACGCCGCCTGTGTCCTCAGATGTCTCCGCAGCACCGGCTCCGCAGCCTGCCTGCCTCCCTCCGCGTCTCCGGGGGCCAGGCTCACCCACAGGGGATCCTCTGCAGGCATGGGGCGAGTGTCCTTTGCAGCGGGGGGAGCGGAGAGTGAGAATTCAGCCGTTCCCCCAGCCTCTGCTTCCGGAGCCTTCTAGCTAGAGAGCTTCACAGCAGCCTGCACCTGGGGGGGAACTTTGCATTTGAGCCAATGCACCGCCTCGCTCGGCCCCCCTCCGGTGCGGTCCCCCTCTTTGGACAAATGTCATTGGCAGGTCGCTTCGGAGCTGCCGCTGCTGGGGGCTTCTAGGTGCATCCGTTTGCCAGGCTGCTCCAGCCAGACCTGTGTCTGCATATGTGTGTGTGTGTGTGTGTGTGTGTGCAGGGTGGCTTGTTTCGCTTTATGTCTAGGGAGGTGAGAAAAGCAGGAGCGACACCTTCCCCCCCCCCCTCCAGCCCGCCCGCTGCTGCAAGCTTCCTCTTTTGGCAAGCAAGAAATCAGGAGGCAGGAGCTGAATTGTATTTCAGCCTCTGCCGTGGATCCGGGCGGGATCTGAATCCTGCTTCGGGTTCTGCTGCTGCATCAGCAAGGCAACCGGGTCAAACTTTGCAGAAACTCATTCCCACCGGTTCCATGCCCGTGGCATTTTCATGCAGCGCAGCTGTGCTTGCAGGCTTTCCAGGGAGGGAGCTCTGGGCATGACAGCTTCTTCCCCTCCGCCCCAGTCCGATTGCAGTATTATTAGCAGGTCTCTCTCCCTGCCTCTCATACCTCCCTCCCTCGCAGCCCTCCCCCTGTAGTCCTCGCTTAAACTGCAGCTGTTGGAGCGAAATCTTTGCAAAACGGCATTTCCTTTCCACAGCTCCAGGCATTCTGGGTAATGTAGTTTTGTTTTAATTCCACCTATTTAAAAAAAATGCAACGCGTTTTCTGTCACTTTAATTTTGGCCCTTTTCTCTCCTCTGAACTGTTTACCGGATGAAGTTTGGTAGGTGGAATCAGTCAGGGTATAAAATTCCTTTAGTCCTAGGCTCTGGGCTGGGGGGGGGGGGGATTCTGGCAATGGAAAATCAAATCCTATGGGGAAAGGACTAAGGAATAGCTGGTATAAGCAGAACACTGAAATCAGCTGATTGTGAGGAAGCGAAGGGAGAAAGTTGCTGCCTTGTATTATTGATACATGTGGTGTTGCTGTGATGGTCTTGTGGCATACAAGCCAGTACCTACAGTTGATATTTGTCCTCCGTGTGTTGGGTGCAGGGCCTTGTGAAGATACGAGCATAAACCCTGGTGGGTGCTAAGCACAACTGCAAACCTGGATGCTTTTATAAAATGATGGTTATGAATATTTAGCCCCTACCGGTTTTCATCCTAGAGCAGTGGTTCCCAATCTTTTTGATACTGGGGACCAGTAAACCCATTCACAAGCTTTTGGAGGACCCATAACATTTATTTGCATATTTGCATAGTCATTAAGCAAATGCTGAATATGCAAATAAATTGTCTGGGGGACTCCCAAAGTCCCTAGTGCCAATAGGAGAGGGCCCGACCCCAACCCTTAGGTAACTACTTCACTCCCGTTTGGGACCGGTAAGGTTAGAACGTGGGTTCCCAAACTGGGGGCATGAAAAAATTCCAGGGGGGGTGCGAGGTGACCCAGTCCCCTCCCCCGCTCCCCCCAGTCAATCCCTTCCTCCCAAGTTTTGCTGCTATTTTTATTTTTCGTCCCCGGTCAGTTCCTTTTTTTTTCCTCAAGTTTTTCTGCTATTTTTGGGCGGGGCATGAGGTTTTCACAAAAATCAAAAAGGGGGCTTGATGCCGAAAAGTTTGGGAACCACCGAGTTAGAAGGTCCCTCTCAGGCCTGCCGGGTGACTCGGCTCATATGGGCCCTGGAGGTCGGGTGAGTAGCCCCGTGTCCTCTCCCCCTGTCGCACCTGCGTTCGTGGGTGAAACCGCGGGCCGCACCCTGCCCTGTGATACTGGGGACCAGTAAACCCATTCACAAGCTTTTGGAGGACCGGTAACATTTATTTGCTTATTCATTAAGCACATGATGAATATGCAAATAAATTGTGTGGCCCTACCTGTCCAGCAGGTTGTTCCACCTCCCCCCTCTCCTGCCCGGACCCAGTCCTGGCCGTACAGCGCCTGGCCTTCTTCCTGGGTCCTAGCGCCCGCCGGATCTAGCCCCGCCGCCTGGGAGCATGCCCAGCAGAGACGCTGTGACGGCACGCTCTCTCCCAAGAATCGTGTGCAGAAATTTTTCTGAGGACTGGTATTTTTTTTCTAAGGACTGGTACTGGGCTGCAGACCACACTTTGGGAAATGCTGTCCTAGAGCTCAAAGCTCTTTACAAAGATGGTCAGTATTACGGTCCCCATTTGTCAAATGGGGAAACTAAGGTACAGAAATGTGTAACAAGTTGCCCATGGTCAACCAGCAGATAGTCTATTATATCACTATAATAAGATGGATACTTGCATGTTATTTACACACACACACAACTCACTTAGCTCTGCCAATGTGCCTGGCACTGGGCAGTCTACCCAGTTTCAATCCCTGCCCTTGACTCTACAGTGCAATAAATACACGGGAAGTTGGGAGTTGAATGGAAATTCAAACACGCAGGTGCCTTGGGGGCGGGGCAGGGTTGGGCTTGCTTCTTGTGGGCATTACTGGAACTACCATGGAGCCCATTGCATCTGAGACCCAAGTGAGAAGACAAGCGTTTAACGGGGATGTGCTGGCATGAAAAAAATCCCACCTCCAGCTCTCAGTTTGGCCAATGCCTTTCCCCCTCTTCCTCTTTTCAGCTGAGTCCCCACCCTGTGCAGAGCAGCGTGAGGTGCCTCAGCATGGATGGGAAGCTGAGCCCAGACGCCTTCTTTTGCCTGCTCTTCCTCTTAACACCAAACAAAGCACCACTGGCAAGCGTCCTCAGTAGGTAAGTTGGTGGGGCAGATAGAGCCAGAAAGGGACACACAGGTCCAGAGAGCACCCGGGAAGGAATTTCCCTGGCTGCTGGAGCGATGGGCTGCTGGAGAGGGGAGCTGCTAAGCAAGCCCCCGACTGTAGGAAGAAATGACTGTAGGGGGGCAGGGAGCAGAGACCCACCCCAGCTGGAGCAGAAAGATCATGAGGTTGCTCCTATTTGGCTTTAAAAGTAATTTACAGTCTACTCTAGTCACCAGAGATCACTCACAGCCTAACTAGGCATGGACATAGGCATCCACATTTTGCATCCACACCCTGTTGGCTTGTGAAATAGACAAGCTGAGGAGGATCAGAGCTTGTCAGTCTTTGGATGGGAGCTTCTAGGAAAACAGCTGCTAGAAGGGGCACTTATCATACAGCAAGTCATAACAGTTTCATGCTTCATATTTTGTAAAAATGTTATGCAAGCATAGGATTAAGTACTGATTATTACTATCCTTGCAGCGGATAGGGAAACAGCTGCCCAGAGAATAGATACAAGGGATTGATTTGCCCACAAACTCTCATCAAATCTGGTGGGGGGGGGGGAATGTGTGTGTGGAATAGAACTTAGAAGTTCATGCATGTATGTGTGGAATAGAACTTAGAAGTTCATGCCTCCCAGGAGAGTACTTTCTACCAAGTCAGTACTGACCCAGCGTTCTGGACACTGTGATCCCGGGAGTGATGTTCTCCAGATGACACTAAAAACAAGGTAATTAAAAACCCCACTGTGCTTTTTGCAAGAGTTGAGTAGAGCCGCCAGAAGTTCTGTTTTGTGAAAGATTTTGAAATCTGGTTTCATTCTGAATGGGAACAGGAACTGAACATATAACATCAAATAAAAAAGAAAGTTGAAATAAAACCAAAATTATTCCATTGATCCCAACCTAATTGTTTTTGAACTTTTCTTGGCTAAGAACTGCAGATTTTTAAATATTTGTTCCCATGCCGAAGTAGGATTTCAAAACAAAAAATTGAAATATTTCATTCCAAAAAGGGGACATTTCAACCTTAGTGGAACTTTTCCCCTCAGTGTTCCTCTGAAATTAACCCAATTTTCCAGAAGCATTTTGATTTCAATGGAGCCTGGTTCTGTTGCAATTCTGTGCCTAGCTTCAGAGCTCAGCCTGGTTAACTTTGCTGTCCAGAAGCTTCAGGGGGTAGCCGAGTTAGTCTGTACAGAAAAAAACAGCCGGTCAGCTGAAGAAGTGGGCTATGCCCACGAAAGCTCACGATACCCTCTACATGTTTTGTTAGTCTATAAAGTGCTACCAGACCATTTGTTGTTTTTAACTTTGCTGTGTAGGTCAATTTCTGAGTTAGGTCACTATAGTCTACCTATCACTCCAAATCATCTTTGCAGCTTCTGGTGGATGCTTCTTCACATGTAGTGCTACATGGCTGCAGACTGCCACATGCCACTCCTGCAGTGACTGCATTTGAGGACTGGGTGAAGCGATATTTAGTGTGGTGAAGAGCTTGAAGGTGAAAACATTCATGCTGAAGGTGGGTCTTTGAGGCCCAGCTGTAGCAAAATATAATGTAGCAGTTGGGGATCTGTTGATCCCTATAGAAGATGCTTTTCCTTCTTCAGTCTGTTTTATGTTTGTGTGCCCCAGTCTCACATCACAATGTGTCCACTCTCCGTTCTCCCTGGGGCTATTTCCTCCTGGCAGTGGGGCTGACATACTTTGTCAGCAGAGGGTGACGGAAATAGAGCACCTTCCTTTATTGGAAAAAAATACTGCAGTATTCTACACGGAAGGAGTCAAATACTGCAGCTGGAGCTAGTGCTGCTGTAGCCTGTAGGGTTAATACTCCCGAATACTGTCGTGTGTTTTAAATAAGGTTCCTTTCCCCCTCGTTTGCCACCTCCTCCTCCTTCACTGCCTCCTCCAAATCAAAAGCCTCCTGAAAAACAAGTCCTGCCGTAGGAAGGCAGAAGGTTTTGCTGTTCAGCAGTTTGGCTGCAAGTGTCTGCTGCTGCTGCTTGGCAGTGATTGCTGGAGCTTCACCGCGCGCTGGAACTTGGGATGTGCTGAAGGTGTCGGTGATGTTGGCGTTGGCGGGGACGGGGAGGTTTCCAGAAGCATGGGGGCAGAGGCATGGCTGCGTTCTTCCATCTCCGCTGCAGGCTGCCTGGGATTGCCAGCTGAGCTGATAAGCAGCAGCAGCTACGCAGGGAAGTCAGGCCCTCTGACCTTGCTAGCCCAGGGGGATGTGGAGCCAGGCTGGGAGGGTGCTGACAAGGAGGGGAAACGGCCTGTGCACAAACAGAATCAGACACCTTAGGCAAGACTAAAAACTGCTGCTTCCTTCCCACCTGCTTTCCTAGAAGTTTGCAGCAGGCCCTCTGCGCCCCCTACTGGTGCTACCGCTAGTCCTGGGTTGGATGTTGATGGGCACAGGCCCCAGCGAATGGGACGATCTGGTGTCTCAATGGGTTGAGCTGGGCCAGCCCACAGTGAAAGTCCTCCAAGCCTGTGTCCTACGTCCTGCAACCTCTGAGAGCCTCTCTTTGGCCTGCAAGGTCCCTCCCCAGGGCATCCCTTCCCAATGGACCTTTCTGGCACTAGGCTACCCGTGGCTCAGCGCTGCTGGACAGCAGCAGCTTCTGGCCCTGACAGCCTCTCAGCTCAACAATTCCAGGACCCAGGCTTGTGCAGGGAGCAGCTCTCAATCCACAGGGACCTAGTGAATGGGCAGTGCGGACCCTGCCTACCCCCACTTGATGCCCCCTTTGTATAGCGGGCAGCAGGCTCCCTGTCACTGGATAGAGTGGGGTTCTCAACTCCTCAGCCCCCACACTCCTGGCCTGGCCCCAGACCTGGCTTATGCAGCCCCACACTGCTAGTCCCATCCCTGCACACCACAATCCCAGCTGGCACCTCCAGCCTGTCCCCCCAACACCACACCATCCAGCCCATCTTGGTGTCAGTCCTTACAGAGCTCCCACAAACAGGGGAGTTGAAGCAGCAGTCAGGCACTGCCCAGGCAGCAGGGAGTGCATGTGCTATTCTAGAGAGCTGGGTGGGGCATCATAGAACCACCATCAGGAAGATTTGAACCTGGGACCTCTGGAGCGTAGTATAGGAGCCTCTACCGCTTGAGCTATAAAGCCAGCTGGCCCTCACGTGAGGCTGTAGAGCTCACTCATACTTATCTCTTGCTGTAAGTGGTCTATGTGCCACTACATGGGACAGGGGACCACACCCACTAGGTGTGTGGGTTATAATGGCACTTGTGTCTGAAGCCTTGGCGGCAATAGCAGTGCTTCCAGGAGCAGCCCCACACTGCTTGCACCCAAGGCACTGCTACGGTCATGCTCCTGATTTTAGTAAACTCAGAGGGCTGGTAGGTAGCAAGACTAAGAGGAAAAATAACTGAAGAGAATTGGCGGTTTTTCAAAGGGACATTACTAAGGCACCAAAAGCAAACTATACCACTGCATAGGAGAGATAGAAAGTATGGCAGGAGACCACCTTGGCTTATGCAGGACATCTTAACGTGATCTAAAAATAAAAAAGGAGTCATATAAAACGTGGAAACTAGGTCATATTAGAAAGGATGAATATCAGCAAACAGCACAGGAATGCAGGAGCAAGATGAGAAAGGGGAAGGCACAAAACGAGCTCAATCTAGCTAGAGGCATAAAGGGTAACAAGAAGACATTCTAGAAATATATTAGAAGCAAGAGGAAGACCAAGGACAGGGTAGGCCCATTGCTCAGTGAAGAGAGAGAAACAATAACAGAAAACTTGGAAATGGCAGAGGCGCTTAACGACTCCTTTGTTTCGGTTTCTGTCAACAAGATTGATCATGACTAGATGCTTAACACAGTGAATGCTAGTAGAAATGAGGTAGGTTTAGAAGTTAAAATAAAAAAAGAACAAGTTAACAATTACTTACAAAAGTTGTGACTAGATGCTTAACATAGTGAATGCTAGTAGAAATGAGGTAGGTTTAGAAGTTAAAATAAAAAAAGAACAAGTTAACAATTACTTACAAAAGTTAGATGTCTTTAAGTCACCAGGGCCCAATGAAATGCATCTTAGAATACTCAAGGAGCTGATAGAGGAGGTATTTGAGCCTTTAGCTATCATCTCTGAAAAGTCCGGGAAGTCGGGAGAGATTCCAGAAGACTGGAAAAGGGCAGATATAGTGCCCATCTATAGAAAGGGAAATAAGAACAACCCAGGAAACTACAGACCAGCCAGTTTAACTTCTGTGCCAGGAAAGATAATGGAGCAAGTAATTAAGGAATCCAACTGCAAACAACTGGAAGATAATAAGGTGATAGGTAACAGCCAGCATGGATTTGTAAAGAACAAATCGTGTCAAACTAATCTAACAGCTTTCTTTGATATGATAACAAGGCTTGTGGGTAAGGGAGAAGCAGTGGACGTGGTATACCTAGACTTTAGTGAAGCATTTGATATGGTCTCACATGATCTTCTTATCAATAAACTAGGGAAATACTACCTAGATGGGGCTACTATAAGGTGGGTGCATAACTGGCTGGATAACAATTCTCAGAGAGTAGTTATTAATGGTTCATAATCATTCTGGAAGGGCATAACAGGTGGGGTTCCGGCAGGGGTCTGTTGGTTCTGTTCAATATTTTCATCAGCAACTTAGCTGATGGCACAGAGGGTACAATTATTATGTTTGCAGATGATACTAAGCTGGGGGAGGGCATTGCAAGTGCTGAGGAGGATACGGTCATATTTCAAAATGATCTGGACAAACTAGAGGCATGGTCTGAGGTAAATAGGATGAAGTTTAAAAAGGACAAATGCAAAGTGCTCCACTTAGGAAGGAACAATCCATTTCACACATGCAGAATGGGAAGCGACTGTCTAGGAAGAAGTACTGTAGAAAGGGATCTAGGGGGTCATTGTGGACCACAAGTTAAACATGAGTCAACAGTGTAACACTATTGCAAAAAAAGCAAACGTGATTCTGAGATAAACAAGAGTGGTATGAGCAAGACACGAGAAGTCATTCTTCCATTCTATTCAGTGCTGATTGGGCCTCAGTTGGAGTATTGTGTCCAGTTCTGGGCACCACATTTCAAGAAAGATGTGAAAAAATTGAAGAGGGTTCAGAGAAAAGCAACAAAAATGACTAAAGGCCTAGAAAGCCTGAGCTACGAGGGAAGACTGAAAGAACTGAGTTTGTATCGTTTAGAAAAGAGAAAACTGAGAAGGGACATGTTAGCAGTTTTCAGGTATCTAAAACCTGGGTTTTAGTCAAGGGTGTTATAAGGAGGAGGGATAAAAATTGTTCTCCTTGGCCTCTGATGACAGGACTAAAAGAAATGGTATTAAATTGCGGCAAGGGAGGTTTAGGTTGAACTTTAGGAAAAACTTCCTAACTGTCAGGGCAGATAAACGCCAGAATAAATTGCCTAAGGGGGGTCATCACTGGAGATATTTAAGAGCAGTTTGGATAGACATCTATCAGGGATGATCTAGATGGTGCTTGGCCCTGCCATGAGGGCAGGGGACTGGACTCGATGACCTCTCGAGGTCCCTTCCAGTCCTAGGATTCTATGATTCTATATTTCTACCTGCACTGGGCTCATGGAGTAGCAGGGAGAGAGCAGCCAAGCTGGGGATCCCTTCATGCTCTTTGCAGCCCCGGCTGGTGGCCACCCACATGCCTGAGCTGCCCCACTGCCGCCACCGCCAGTCTGCCGGCCTTCCAAATCTGCCACCCGAGGCAGCTGCCTCCTCTGCCTGTAGCTAGGAAGACCTCAGGGAAGGGATCTGGGGAGGGAGCTGGAATCTATCAGCCTGGGAGTTCTCCAAGGTGCTAAAATAAATCCAGTGTGGATCAGATTGCAAGACCAAAATAACCCAACAGCAGCAGCAGCCTTGGAAATTTGAGCAGGGAGCACAGAGCTGAGCAGAATGCGTGTGAGGGAGGGAAGGGGCATTTTAATGGTTTATTAATAATATTTCAAAGCCAGGGCGTGCCTGTGCTAAACCTGCTTCACCTCCCTCCCCACACACAACATGTATGTGTTGCACATGTCTGTGCTCAGTGCAGTCTGTGAACGATGCACCTGCATTGTGATCTGTAGGAAACCCAAAACTTCTCTCTTGAACTATCCTTCCCCTCCCGGACTATGGTCATTGCAGTCCTCCTATATGTGCCAGCGTCTAGGAACAAGCTGCTAAAAGCAGAGCTCCGTGCCCAATCCAGTCTTACCCCTGAAAAAGGGCGGGCGGAGGGAACCAAGCAATGAGTTGCCTCCTTTCCTCTCTTTAGGAAGAGTGGGTATTGGACACAGTGGCCTTTAAATCTGTGGGGTACCCTAGTTCAGTGTTTCTCAACCAGTGGTATGAGTCCCCTTAGGGGTACTCGAGAAGTCGGGGGGGGGGGCACATCAACACAACTGAAATTTGGACAAAACTGAATTTTTGTTTCAAGTTTTACAGCGCTTTATTATTTTTGTACTTTTTACACCCAAAAATTTCACCGCCCACTCGGCTCTGAT